TCTATGAGCAATAGGCACATCTAACTCATTAGAAAATGTAGATAACTCACCAGTAGAAGAAGGTTCAGCTTCGGTAGATTGCATGATGGCTTCTTCTGCCCTATTTCTCCTTGAGTAAGTTTTCAAATCAGGCCTATCCAAACACCCAATAGTCTCTCCCTGAATTCTTTCTCTAAATTCACTTTTCCCTATGACAATATCATCAAGAGGTCCAGTAATGGAACTAGGTAGAATCACCTCTTCCTCCTTACTGCTCTCCCCTGAAGAGGTGATGAGGTAATACTGAAATAGGGCTCAGATTCTTGAAAGGTAACATGCATGCTAACAAAAGATCTCCTAGAGGAAGGATGATAACATTTGTAACATTTCTTTGTCGGAGAATACCCAATAAAACGCACTTTATAGCTCTAGGATCAAGTTTCCCAGAATTTCTAGTGTGGACAAAGCAAACACACCCAAACACCTTTGGAGGAACTGTATATTCATTCTTACCCTTTAAAGCTTTCAGAGGACTGAGAAAATTGAAGTGTTTAAGTGGCATTCTGTTGATAAGATAGGCAGCCGCTAGAATAGCATCCCCAGTAAGGTTTTGGTAGATGCATGGTGAACATAAGAGATCTTGCTACTTCTAACAGATGTCTATTTTTTCTTTCAACGATCACATTTTGCGCACTAGTGTAAGGACAACTAGTCTGATGGACTATCCCATTGGACTCCAAATAAGCACCAAATCTTTTATTCATGTATTCGCTGCCATTGTTAGTTCTCAAGATTTTTATTTTGGCATCAAACTGAGTACAAATCATCTTATGACATGACTGAAACCAAGAGAAAACTTCACTTTTGGCTTTTAACAAATATACCCAAGTCATACTAGTGCAACAATCAATGAAAGTAACAAACCATCGACTACCAGACAAAGAAACAGTTTGGGTAGGACCTCATACATCAGAATGAATAGTCATAAACATAATTGTTCTTCTATATCACTCACATGATAAGAGTTTCTAGTATGCTTGGCATATTCACACGCATCACAGAATAAAAATTCAAATCGAGTCCTTGAAAACAAATCGGGACATAACTTCAAAACAAAGAATGATGGGTGTCCTAACCGTCTATGTTGTTGTATTATTTCTTGGTTGACATACTTACTTTCCCCAAAAAAGGCTTGACCGGAGTTTTGAATTCCATCTAATATATACAAGTTATCACGTCGAAAACAGTCTCTCTGCCCTTACAGGGTAGGGGTAAGACTGCGTGCATTCTACCCTCCCCAAACCCCACTTTTGGGATTACACTAGGTTGTTGCATATACAAGTCATCACGCAATCTACTCCTGAAAAATACAATGTTGGGAAAGAACTCGATTTTACGGTTTAGAGCTTTGGTGATTGCACTAACAGATAAAAGATTGACAGGGAACTCAGGGACATGGAGCACGGATAATAGTTTAATGTTAAGCACAGTGATTGCCTTTGAAATCATAGCCATCAGTCTTACTTTTTACATTCTGCATATTGTGCTCGATCAATAATTAAAGAACATAGTGCATATTTTAACTGCAAAATCTTGATGATGGTCATTAGACACGCATTCACTAGCTTGGAATTTGAGATCTAGTCAATGCTGTGTTATATCTCCTAACTTGAATAGGGGTGAGACTTAGATACATCCTATCCCAGTAAAGCAGCTGACTTTTATCATCTCAAATAAGAAACTATATACAAGGAATTGATTATCTTTATGGTCCTGTCTTGTGTTTCTCTGGGCTGTTTATACTCAGTAGCACCTTCTGTTCTGAATGATCTACTTATTTGATCAAAACTAGGCTTCACATCAAGGTCTTGGATTCACACCAGGCTCCTCAGGCAGGAATTATTCCCAAGGCAATCCTTATCCTAGTGCAAACTATGGTACTGGGTCTAGTTCTCTGTGGGAACCAGGTCACAGAAATTGGCTAACTCCTGACAGAGGTGGAAGACGTGAGAGGGATCGGCACTCTGTTAACATTTCTACTGAATCACTTGGTATGGCAAGTGAACGAAACCGAGGACCAAGGGCATTAAAACCAAAGAGCAAGGGTCCCATTGAGGATAGCTCTTCATCTGTCATCCGTAAAGAAGTTGAGTCGACTAATACTTTGCAGCCTGAGCAGTATAATCGGCCTGAATTTGTCACTGGTTATGAACATGCCAAGTTCTTTGTCATCAAATCCTTCAGTGAAGATAATGTTCACAAAAGCATCAAATATAGTGTGTGGGCTAGCACTCCTCTGGGAAATGGAAAGCTTGATGCTGCTTATCGTGAAGCAAAAGAGAGGAATGCTGATTGTCCTGTTTTTCTCTTTTTCTCGGTATGTTCCTTCAATTGTTATATTGGCTTGTGAGTTAAATGAACGCATTACTCTCCTGGAGAATGGTGCATATACAGAACAACCTTTGTCATTATTCTCAGAAGGCTTCTATTTGTCTTTCAGTTATTTTTCTTTTTCCACTTATGTTTTTCTAAATTTGTATCTCTTTTTAGCACGGTATTTGAAAACTTAGGAAACACCAATGCATGCTTATAAGTATACATCTTCTGTATGATAGGCATGCTTAAACTTTTGAGCTTTTAAATTTTAATATTTGGGTACAACTCTAGGTGAATGCTAGTGGACAATTTTGTGGGGTTGCTGAGATGGTTGGGCCTGTTGATTTTGAGAACAATGCGGAGCACTGGCAGCAGGATCGATGGAGTGGGCAATTTCCTGTTAAATGGCATGTCATTAAGGACGTGCCTAACAGTCAGTTCCGCCACCTACTTCTGGAACATAATGACAACAAACCAGTTACTCACAGTCGAGATTCTCAAGAGGTATATATCTTTACTATACGCCCTTGTAATCTTCTACTTTTGTTCTTGCTTCTTTAATGTCTAAGATTATCATCCAGTTCTTTTTTGATAAGGAAGATTATTATCCAGTTCTCAATGTCTATTACCGATTGGAGCTGCAAATTTTCTGCGGAATTCCTTATCTTGAATGTAGCTAGTCCAGATCTTTTGTCTGTATCATCACATAAATTATTTCAGGATGGTGCAGCTTGATTTGCAAATATTGATCAATGGCTGCTAGAAATTTCTCTTGTTTTCTTTTTTCTTTCTGTATGCTAACATTCAAAACCTTGGCATTGACAACCATGTGCCCTTGCTCTTGCTTGGGCTATGTGTCCTATAGCTTGTGTTTACGAGTTGCAGTTGCTTCACATTGTTTTGTCTTTCTGATCATTTCAGGTGAAATTGCCAGAGGGACTAGAAATGTTGAAAATTTTCAAAAACTATGAAGCGGATACCTCTATATTGGATGATTTCACCTATTACGATGAGAGGGAGAAGTCCTTGCTGGAAAAGAAGAGTAAACAGCGAACACTTCAACCTGGTAGTGCTGCAGTTACTACTGCAGCTGACACAATAAGTCAACTAGCGGATAGTCTTGCCGGCACATTAAACTTGGAAGGCAACAAGAAATTGCCTTAAAAAGAGTTTGTAATGCTTAAGCCTGTAGCAGATTCCAGAGGCAATATCAACTGCTGTCATTCAATGTTAGTTGGTTGGGCAACCAGCTGGCTCGTATAGTTAAGGAGATTGCTAACAGCATTTTGGGAGGTGGCCTTTTCATCACCTTTGGATCAGAAAACTCTCTTTATCTCTTTCCTTTATTTGTCATTTGTTCAATGAGTTGGTTGTGATTTGCAATTCTTGGGCAAGGAGAGGCAGCCAGTAATGTTAGTGCTAACTGTTTTCCCGTTATTTCTTCGTTGTTTCTTTAAGTAGGTGATGGCAGGCAATACAGAAGCCATCCGACATCTGGAAATTTGGATCTTTCCGGGCTGATGTTTTATGTACTCTAGTTTTTCATAGTTTCAGGCAGTACCAATGGCTGCTTTTGTATTCCTATAGAACTGCCAAAATGGGTGATAATTGGGAGGAGGCCTTAATATCTTTAGAGAAATCGAATGACTTGATATCGAGCCTGTATTTCTTCATCAACCAAAATAATGTCTGGCCTTGGCAGTCAGATTATTTCTTTTATGGAATCATAGGTATCGATGTTTTCTCATGCTGCATTGTTCTAGCTATTGTCTTTACTCCGACCTTTTAATATGGTGTGTTCGGCCGAACATAGTAGTTTTTGCTCTAACAGTGTATTTGTGTAAAGAAATTCATTATATATGTACGAATATTAAATTTAGAACCTATTTATTAGCACTTAAGTCGTCGTTCTAAAATTTATAACCCGTGTTGATGGATCCTTCAACTACTTCAAAGGAATGTCAACGAGGAAGCATATTTTCACTAGCATACTTGCTCGAGATTGAAGATGGCTCATCAGGTTCCCTTAAATAAGTGGTCGATTGGGAGATTTATTTCTTATTCGAATGTGCATCAAGATTTGATTATGGTCTCTTAACCACTGAAGAATTTGAGCTATGCACCAAACGCGGAAATATATCAAAGGTTTAACCAACTTCAAAGCTTCATCTCCTTTTTGTTCTCTTATTTCGAAAGTCCAGTATTACACCTCCATCTTGTTTTCTTATTTTTCAATTGTAATTTTTATTTTTATTATTTCCCTCAAAGGAGAACAAAATAAAGCATTGGCGGGGTGGTCGTGAACTAAGATAGTTAACTTATTGTCTCCAATAATTAGAACAATTAATCCCCATCCCTTATACCAACTAGTATATCCTGATCATACAAATTGATTTGAATGTGTCCCATCTCCAAGCAAAATCGTCATTCTTGCTCCCCAATAATCAGAAATTCAATCCTCCAAAACCTCTCATTCACCAACACCACATTGACTAATAAAACATTGTGGTCATATAGATTGATTTTAATGACTTCAGTCCTCCAAGCAAAATATGTTACTCTTGCTACCGTATTTCCTGCAATGTAAGATCAAACATTTGGAGCCAACACAGAGATTTGGGTGTGGGCATGGATTAGAGAGTAACTTCTTTAGGACCTTATACATTCAAACTTAATAACAACAAAGGATAAGGTCTACAATGCCATAAAAGGACCGGTATGATACACATCAACCCTCTCTTCTACTACTTATCAGCATCTTAAATCAAAGGAGAAAGGAGGGGGAGGGGGAGGGGGGGTTAAAAGGATACAACAATGAAACAAAAAGTTCTCATAACTTACTCCCTTTCCTATCGAACAAAGAAATTATGCCTAATAGATACACATAAAGGACTTAAAATCAGATGTTTTTTTGGCCTTCCCAAAATTCTTTACTCCTGTTCTTACTGCTTCTAGATTCCTCTTCCCACATTAATCAGTAGTCATCGGTTGGCTTATGCAGCACCTAAAACGGGCCTTTCTGACAGTTGTCATGATCTCTGTCTCTGCGACCTCGAGCATTCTGACCACTTGAGAGAATGGTGGCCTATTATCAGGGTTAGCATCCCAGCAGCGGGTCATGATCTCACTTAGGACAGGCAAACAATCATTGGGGATTGCTGGACGAATACCTTTGTTGACAACAGCAAAAGCTGCCTGCACAGCGGTCATTTTCTGGAAGGGAAGCATCCCTGTTATGAGTTCCCACAGAACGATGCCAAAACTATAAACATCGACTTTGTGGGTGTAAGCTCGATGCTGGATCATCTCCCTGCATATCAGAGTAAATGCACTCAAGTAGCCAACAATGAAACATACATGCTAAACGATTTTGGATGTTTTTCTTTTTTTCCAAATGAGAAGAATCCTAATATATTGCAAAACCAGAAGCAAAAATATCTATACTAGGCAGAATTGCTACAACACAGATTTCTCACTAGAAACGTAATTTCCTTTTTCAGATGAATAGAAATCAAAACTAGATTTAACTTATACAGAGTGACTTCACATGCTGGGCAACAACTTTAACTGATATGAAGATTTAGGCAAGACCATTATTTATTTATTTTGGTAATTTAGGCAAGACCATTATTACATTAGTCAAAAAGCATATTTCATATTTTCCTTCAAACAAGACATCCACTAATAAGTTTTAGATAAATCTACCATGACGGTGATGTGCCAATCTCACCCACATTAGCCAACCTAAATATCACCTGAGCAACCTCATGCATCTGTTCTAATCACAAGCATTTCGACACTATTTCTGGAAGCTAGAATCACCATCTTTTTCAGAGAAAATTTCTAAAAGAAATGTCCTAATCGAAACACACAAAAAAAATATAAATCCATTTTTCACATTTTCCAACCAAATGAAAGCTTAAACATAAATCAGGGAATTCGTGGATGTTGGAAATCTGTAGGTACTGCTTTGATTGGGAGATGGAAAGATGGCTAGTTTACTTCAACAGCTGGAGCAGAAGCTACTAGATCTTGACGAGTAACAGCCAGTTCTTTGAAAATCTCAACTTTGAGGAGTTACATTAATTTTCTTTTTCTTTGAGGTAAATAATTTTATTAATGTGGGAAAACTCTCATATACAAGCCGTATACCAAAAAGTAGAGAACCTACACAAATATGGTTATCTATAGATGTCATCCAATCTTCTATATGCATAGGAACTTCATGGGTGCACCAAAAACACTTAGAATAAGAGGTTATTCCTCAAATGTATTTGAGAAGTTGGATTACCACCGGCAATATTGTACGTTGAAATTAGTTATTTTTCTTTGATAGCCGTGGAAACAGCCTCTTGCAGAAATGCAGGGTAAGGCTGCGTACGATAGATCCTTGTGGTCCGACCCTCCCCCGGACCCCGCGCATAGCGGGAGCTTAGTGCACCGGGCTGCCCTTTTAAGTAATTAAAGATGTTATAAATTTATGCACTTAGCCAGTGCATCAGGCATAATTACAAGTTGTGCAAACCCTCTATTGTTTCTAGCATTCCATCTATATCATGTTCAATGACCAGATTGCACCAAAAAGCTAACAAAAAAATACATCTCTGTTTAAGGCTGAGAATGTTTCTCATAGTGCCTTCAAAAATCCTGTTGTTTCTTTCAAGCCAGACAGTCCACCAAATGGCCTGAGGTATGGTATTCGAAGTTCTTAGAGATTTCTTATTAAGCTCCTTTCTTACGTTGAAATCAGTTATGTTAATTGCAATTTAATTATTATAGTTTAAACTCATTTATGTTTTGGTACTTTATTTTTAATAAATTGTGCGCTTCACTTCGCAGTTTTCCACTTAATGTCCCAGGGACCTTGTTTTGGTACTATACAAGGTAACTTTCTACTCCTAAGAACACTCCATGTTCATCTTCCCATATCGTCCATGTGAGTGCCAAAGGAACTACTTCCGGCACTCTACTTCTTAATATCATCTAGCAAGAGGTTGTTGACTGAAATAGAAAATTTTGCAAGTTTTTCTTTTACTTTTTTGGTAAGTAGAAAATTTTGGAAGAATTGGATTCAACTTCCAAGCATCTGGAGTCCTCTTCCTTTCGACTAGCAAATATTGGAATTGTTGCAAAAAGTCGAGACACAAAATGGATGCTCTATTCTACAAAGAGGGAACACTTTTGTGCCTCTCGACCAAGTGTTGATCCATTGTATTTCTAAGAAATAGTTTTTGAAATCCCAAATTTGTCTGATGAGAAATGTGAATTAAAAAGGAGGGGGATCAGCACTTCTGTGCCTCTCAACTCATTCCAACAAGAAGTGATTATCCCTTGTATGTTTAAGAATAGAACTTCTTTAAAACAAGCTTGTCTGACGAGATATGCAAACAAAAGATTAAAAAAGAACCCCCCGGCTGGAAATAAATTATACTCCATGTTCTCCTTTTCATGTCGATTAAGCATACCAATGCCTTAACCCACACGACCATACTTCTAAGTTGTTGATCGGCATGGAAAAATCTAGTAAGGTTGTCCTCTAGATCTAGAACATGGTGTTGGAAATTATCTTGAGTAACACGAGCACCATCTTAGGAAAGAGCGAGCCTGAAAGGTAATCAGTCAACATTATTTTTATCTTTTTGATTGGTCAACATTATTAAAGTAAGGTAAAAGAATGTGGTACGCAGAGACATTGAACAAAATCTGATGTGACAACAGCTAAGTGTAGATGGTAACAACCATGCTAAACAAGACTAGTTATGACCGGGAAACTAAGCAACTAAACCACCAAATGAACGTATCTGTAAGCTTAAGTAACTGAACCATAACTGAATCAGACTATAGAGCGATTGTCGCAACGGTATCCCAACAAAAAGTATTTGAAGGGAAGGTACTCATTCCCGGCCGCTTTCAATAGTGTTCACTGTTGAGTGATTACTCACTACCTAGCTGGAAAAGATGGTCCAGGAGCTGCCTCTCTCCCAGTAAGCACGACAGAATCACCGCTTCTCTCGCAGCTATCTAAATGAATCTACCCTTCTTTATGAACTAAAAAAATCTCAAGAATAGGAGTCCCATTAATAGTTGATGTGCCAAGCTTATGACATTTTCCTGCAGGGAAAATGAAGAAAAGAAGAGCTACCTATCTAGTTGGAAGGATTGAGGAGAATGTCCTTTTGTTTATGGAACAATAGCACTTTCTCCAGCAAAGGTCAATTCATCATAAACCTCAATAAATAAAGTGCTGCTGTATGGGATCAGTAAAATGTGCTAACCTGAAAAGGAAATGCTCCAGGTATGAGGATAAAAGGGAAAGACCCAACCCTCACTCACTTCTTTAGCTTTCCTCCCAAAGACTTCATTAATTCATGCCATGACAGACAACTTCTGTTGTGCTATTCTACTCTCTGAACTTGAGACAAGCAGTAATATCTATTTGAAATCATTTAGGTTGTCAAGACTATGTCAGTGCATTATGAATAAGAGTTGCTAGGCTTTCTATGAAAGCAATTCAAATAAAGTGAGTTAATCTATTTCCCTAGATGTGACAATCTAAGATAGGATACTATATACCAGTCTGCTTCATTTGCGATGAAAGGAAAACTAAAACTAAAATGTTGAAAAGCATATTACTCGTGTGCTTTACCAACAACAATTTTATTTAACCACGTCACATTAAAGGACCAATTGCTGGCCTCATCGAGCTAAAAAACCAATATGAAACCGACATAGACCAGACCTCAAGCAACCAAAAGCATTTTGAATTCTCCACAGATCAATAGTGAGAACACCTAAAACATTTAGTTTCCACGTCTACTCATAGAAAATACACACTGCCTTTCCTCCAACTTTGCAAGGCGAATTCTAATTTGGTCACCTAAAAGTCAGACAGCGATTGGCTCCCACTTTTACTCATTTATGAATTTTGAACCAGCATTCAATCTTCCTTCTAAAATTCTTGTCCAAAAGAATGTTCACAAACAGATCTACAAAGAAAGGAATTAAAGGCACTACTTCAAGTTTCCTGTTAATTCAACCTTCCATAAGAAGCACGAAAGCAGAAAGATATTCATCAGCATACTCAACGTGATATATTCTCAGAACTCACATTTCAATACAGAAAAGTCTCAGCACGAATGATAATGAATAGAGTACAAATCAAACAAGCTGGATCCGATTAAAATATCCATTTTTCTACTTCCATCTTTCGAAATGGGGAAACAAATATTGGAGCATAGTCTGCCTCTCTCTATCTAGTCATTAATAAGGACATGCAATGAAAGAAAGCTCAACTTTTTAAGTTAAAATGGCTAAAACTACCAAAATGGCTAATGTTTCACAAAGTATTACTAGCAACGAGTTATGATCTGAGATTTAGAGAAGGTCTTATGTTCTTATCTTTGTACACAGAAGAAATTACCTATTGCTTCCTTGTATTAAAGTTTACCATAAACTTGAAGCGTCCTTGCATACAATATTATATAACTTCCTCCTGTCTCATTTTATATGGTGGTATTCAACTCTAAGTACAATTTATGACGTTAATTTGACTTAGAAATTATATTAGTCATAGTAGAAGAAAATATCAAAGTTATGGTTAAAAACTTAGTTTTATAGAGAGACCATCAAATCAAAGCTCAAAATTTTAATAGCTAAAAGAACTAAAATTCTTGAAAGTTGTGAAAATTGCATGGAATAATATCAAACATTTTGGGAAATGGAAAGAGTGTCAGAAATTGGAACGGAGAAAGGGAGTTGTAGACATATCAAATCAAGAAAAGGAATTTTTTTTATGAATAGGTAGCAACTTAACTGTACTGCAGACTAGTTGCATTAGGAGGAAGGCAGATTTCCAAAGAAAGTACAACTTGTTATTCTTCTTGGAGAGTTGCACCATAGAGACTGTTAAAGCACCTCCTTTGATAATTAGGGAGCACTCCCCTTTGGTTATGCTCTATTGAAAATTACATCAGAAAGTCGCACTCTAGATCTTTTTGCTCCAAAAAGAAATTTAGGAAAAGAACACAATTGGCTAATTGCATACTTAAGTACCAAAGTCAATTTCCAGAAACAATTAACAATTTGCTGTTGAAAAGTAGTCGAAACACTTAATAGTGAAACATTCAATTTTTTTTTCTTAATAAGAAATGAACTACTGAAAAGTCTTTACAATTAGAATCTTCACCTAACTAACATCTCTTTCTATTTCTTATTTCTTTTTTCCTTTTTTGGTAAAAAAAAAGAAGTAATTGTACATGACACTCCTAAATAGCTTTTAATTAATCCTGGACAGATTACATTGTAGTATATCCATAGTGTAAAGTACAGCACTTCAATTATTAACCGGAAATAGTGGAGCGCAACACACAGAATAAGCGTGTTATACACTCAGTTGTAGGCAGGGTATATAGATGGTTTAATGGTATTACCATTCCATATTTCAAGGAGAAAAAGTTCAAAAAATAGCTCAAGGGAAAATGCTCCCTATCAAGCACACACTAACTTTCAACCTAGAAAAAGGAATGCAACACGCTGTTGTTGAGGCATAGGTTGTAGTTACATAGAAAATCGCACTCTAGCTCTTTTTACTCCAAAAGAAATTTAGTTAAAGAACATTACTGCATATTCTTAATACCAAATTCAATTTTCAAACACAGCCAGAATTAGTGTGGGATTGAGGCATAGTTGTTGTAGTTGTAGTTATAGTTGTATGAAGTATGAACTACCATCCCCTGTTACTTTTTATTCTTCAGTAAAAAGCAATTTGTTTCTAATCTTTAGCAATTTGCTGATGGAAAGTATTCAAAACAATAACTGATAGTGAAATATTCTAACTTTTTTTTTTTCTTAATAAGTAATGAACTACTGAGAAGTCTTTACAGTTAGAGTCTTTACCCAACTGATGTCTCTTCCCTTTTTTACCCGTTTTCCCCCTTTTATTTCCTTTTTTTCTTTTCTTGTGAAAAAGTAATTTTACAAGACACCAGTGATTAATTTTTAATATTCAAATATGAAATAATTGGCCAGATTAAATTGCAGTACATCCATGATCCATACAATACTTTCAATTATTAACGGCCAGAAACAGTGGAGCGCAGCACACGGAATAAGCATGTTATACATTCAAGTTAAGGTGGAGTACACAGAAGGGATAGTGGTGTTGCCTTTCCATAGTTCAAGGAGAAAAGGTACAAAAACAAAAATAGCTCAAGGGAAAATGCTCCCTATTAAGCGCACATTACCTTTCAATTTTGAAAAAGATATGCAACATGCTGTTATATTTCAGACCATCGAGAGAAGGTTATATTACGGATTTATTGTCCAAGCAAATATATCATGCTGAACAAACATATTTCTGTTTGCAGCCATTCCTCTTTTTTCTTCGTAAGTAGAAGGTTGTACCGTATAGGCACGAATATCTAACATATATGAATCAAATATACTTAGCATGAGGACGTTGGAAACTATAAAACTAACACAAAAAAAGATGAAGTATTCCAAAGAGAGTGAAACAGCTAACATAGCTCTGTTAAGGGGTAATGCCGAAGACCATAGACAGGAATAAGATAAGATGATTTAATAAGGCTGCTAGAGAGTCCAGACACTTACGGAGCCATCCAGCGGTATGTTCCAGTCTCTGGTGTCATTCCTTCAGTCTGCACTTCAATACGAGCAACCCCAAAATCTGCAATCTTGATCGACTTGTCCGCAGCAATCAGTAGATTGTCAGATTTCAGGTCACGGTGTATCAGATTCAGGCCATGTACATATTCCATCCCCCTTGCCACGTCTAATGCCTGCTTCACCGCTAACTTCAAGGGCACTGATCGATTTTGTCTCCTGGCCAGAAACTGACGCACTGATCCCCCTTTCGCATATTCAGTCACAATACACCAGACCATAGGTTTACGGCATCCACCAATAAAACGCACTATGTTTGGATGCTTCAACCTTGCCAACATCATGACTTCCTGCTGAAATGCCTGCTCCATCAACTGAGCTCTCTCAAGATCATTTTCTGGCCTCTCTAGAAGCTTGATAGCAACATCCTCACCATTGTATGTTCCCTTGTAGAGTTTCCCAAAAGCCCCCTGAGCAAAAGCTGGACCCATGTTTAGCTTCCTCAAATCAATTGTCCACTCATCATAATTCTCAAGCCCGTCGGTAGGAAATCGAGGATCCATCAAAGCTTGAGCTAGGGCATCATCACTCAACCCTTGAGAAACTCTCCCCCTATTTACACTAGCTGCTGTGGTATAGTTATTGCGGACGCGCTTGAGGCCCGGGTGGTTTAAAATACGTGTGTGGGAACCATTTGATCCAACACTGCTGTTATCCGTTGACATCGCAACCGAACCTCCACCAATGCTCATTTGCAAGCTCCCATAACTGTCGATTGACATGTTTGAACCCTCGCCAAGCTTATGGTAAAAATTTTGAGTGATGCCATAATTATCATGGTTCTCATTTAAGTCGATAAGTCCTGCTAACTTTGGAGCCTCCAACATTTTCTCTGATAAATCTGCTGCAGCACAAAAGCTTCAAGTCTAGCTTATTTATACTGCATGAAGATTGGCACAGTCAAACTTCACTCTCCATAATCCTGTGAAAACAATATGAAAAAGACAGAAGGTCATTTTTTTTGAAAACCCAATTCAGAAAACCCTCCTTTCCCACTTCTTAACCCAGAATGCTATTACCAGTAGATTAAGGGACAATAACTACACAAAGATTAGCGCCCAAGGGTGTGGCCTAGTGGTCAATGAAGTGGGTGAGAACCATGAGGTCTCAGGTTCAAATCCCAGCGGAGGCAAATACTAGGTAATTTCTTCCCATCTATCCAAGCCTTGGTAGATAGAGTTACCTGGTACCTGTTGCTGGTGGGAAGTGGCAGGTATCCCGGGGAATTAGTCGAGGTGCGCGCAAGCTGGCCCGGACACCACGGTTATCAAAAAAAAAAAAATACACAAAGATTAATTTTTCAAACTTAATGAAATTAAAGAGTCAATCGATCATTCCAAATTACTGGGGGACGAATACATGAATCTTCTTTACCCATTAAGCTCTACTCACCTCCATTTTACACAAATACTAAACGAGTCGTCTTTTAACGCAAATTAGAGCTTCTTTAAAACCAGGATCCTCCAAATATTTCACTTATCCTTACACAGACATGCAAGTCTCCAACACAATTACGCAAACACCACACAAAATATAAGTGTAAAACAAACAACTAAACCTCCAAATATTTCACTTATCCTTACACAGACATAAAACTTTCTTAAAACATACAAACACAAAAGATAAATCATCAAGTACATAAAAATCTATTTGAAAAACTAAAAATAATTAAAACCACACATTTTCCCCTCTGCAATTTTCTTCCAGAGCTAGGGGTTAAATTGTAATTTCCCAAAAACGCGTCCATTTCTGTTTCCAGCTCAAACTCTCATATACAGGTGTTTGGAATTTTTAACTATAAGCATCAAAAGAATAGCTCTACTCCAGCTCAAAATTAACAAAAAATAAACAAATTAAAAACAAGCATAAAATCCCCATTATTAATAAATAAATAAAATTTAAAAAAAATCAATTAATTTTGGTGATCTGAGAGTAAAATCGAGGAGAAAATGATAAATTTACTTTGATCAAAGAGGGAGCTTGACTTTGCAAAACTTACTGTTCCAACTCCTAACACCCGATCGATTCTGAAGCTGTACACAAACTCCACCACGCGCAGCTCCACCGAGTTGAACCCACTCACCTCCACCGGCAGACAAACAACAACGTATAGACAAGTAGTAGTAGTAGTAGTAGTAGTAGTAGTAGTAGAATAAAGAAGAAGAAAAAGAACGCAGAGGAAACACACACACACACACACACACACACACACAAAATGATGAATGAATGAATATTGTCTTTGTCTTAGCTATAGGGGTCTTCGTCTCTCTTTTTTCTCTTTACTCGGACGGAGAGGGGGAAGACCTATTGTATAGTCGCTCGTATTCTCAACCAATATGTTGGGTGGGGTTGGAAATAATGTGTCCGTAGAAATAACATCATCTTTGACTGCTATGACTTTTGTGCTTACTATGGACGTTCCATTGACCGGGTCAATTGACCCAATAATGAATAAAATTTGAGGTTTTGGAGGATAAGTATAGAAATAGAGATTTGAATTCAAAAAGGAATACGAAATTAAGGAAAAATTCCACCTTAGTTTTAAATTTAAAATTTATCGTATCATTTCATTGGACATATTTTTACCATTATAACTACAAACCACGAACAAACGAACATCGGTGAAGTAGTGACGAGGTTCAAATCATGTGATACTCACTAACCAAATAAACTTATACAGTCATAACAATTCGCAACAAGAATATAACAGGTGCAATATCATCAAATATCAAATCAGGAGATATCAACTTAAGATGAAACATTCAACCTTGACTAACTAGTCATCATCATATAACAAAGGAATCGAATAGCATATTAGAATTCAACATAGAAAGTATATAGAATGCATAACAAGGCATAAAAGATTCACTCGTATGGTTAAACTTCTACCCTCATGCTCAAAAATCATTATCATCGGATTATATATCGGAATCAACCAATATCTGTCAATTTATCACAATCAGCGTGTATGACATCAAGAGAGAAACATGAGAGGTCGACCCTCGGTGGATGGATCCAAATCTACACAATGCACAATATAGTACTCGTGCAAAACAATAGCAATATCATATTATCTGCACGGTAAAGACCTTGTGCTACAACATCCAATACCGTATATAATATCCGCACGGAAGAGACCTCATTCCATTTTCAAATCATTTCCGCTTAATATGTCCAATTGTGCCATAATCATAACAATTCGAAATAACATTTCATCTCAACAGACACATGTTCGCATTAATCAAAAAAAGGTGCACAAGGACATAACAATATAGTTCGGATGTGTGCTCAATATGTGAAGCATGACTATAGATAAATCAATTATAGCAATAATTTCACAAATAGCCCGTCTTGGCCAATTAAGAGATAATAATCCTAAACATGGTCACTAGCATGAAACGATAAGCTCATGTAGTCATACAAATAATTAAACTTGAATCATAAAAAGCAAAAAACCTAAGTAAGACATAATAGAAGGCTAAAGTCTAAGCGACGTATATGCGGGTGCTATGTATGATTCATGACTGGATTAGATTATCAAATATCAAATCAGGAGATATCAGCTTAACATGAAAAATTCAACCTTGACTAGCTAGTCATCATCACATAACAAAGGAATCGAATAGCATGTTAGAATTCAACATAGAAAGTATATAGAATGCATAACAAGGCATAAAGGATTCACTCGTATGGTCAAACTTCTACCTTCATGCTCAAAAATCATTATCATCGGATTTTATATCAGAATCAACCAATATCTGTCAATTTATCATAATCCGCGTGTATGACATCAAGAGAGAAATATGAGAGGGCGACCCTCGGGGGATGGATCCAAATCTACACACTGCACAATATAGTACTCATGCAAAACAATAGCAATATCATCTTATCTGCACGGTAAAGACCTTGTGCTACAACATCCAATACCATATACAATATCCGCATGGAAGAGACCTCATTCCATTTTCAAATCATATCCGCTTAATATGTCCAATTGTGCCATAATCATAACAATTCGAAATAATATTTCATCTCAAGAGACACATGCTCACATTAATCAAAAAAGGTGCACAAGGACATAATAATAATATAGTTCAGATGTGTGCTCAATATGTAAAGCATAACTATGGATAAATCAATTATAGCAATAATTTCACAAATAGCCCGTCTTGGCCAATTAAGAGATAATAATCCTAAACATGGTCACTAGCATGAAAAGATAAGCCCATGTAGTCATACAAATGATTAAACTTGAATCATAAAAAGCACAAAATCTAAATAAGGCGTAATAGAAGGCTAAAGTCTAATCCGGTCATGAATCATACATAGCACCCGCATTGTCATGACCCAAACTAATCTCTGTCGTGATGGCGCCTATCGTGGAACTAGGCAAGCCGACTCATTTCCAAAACAAACCGATAGTTTCATTTTAAAGATAAGTTCAATGTTATTTAACATAAAAACCTTCGTAAAAGAGTTCAAATCAAAATAAAAGTGCGGAAGAAAAAGCCCGGCATTGGGGTGTCACTAGTCATGAGCATCTACTATAATCTGTCTAACAATACCAAGGCTAACTCAGTCTGAAAAATAGCTTAATACAACTAGAGGAAGATAAGAGGGAGAAGAACATGGACTGTGATCGCCAAAAGCTACCTTGTTATCTCCAAGAAAATCTGCAACCAGAACACTCAATAACCGCTACTGTGTCCAACTGCACCTAAATCTGCACACAAGGTGCGGGGAGTAACGTGAGTACGCCAACTCAGTAAGTAACAATAATAAATAAATACTAAGTAGTAGTGACGAGTAATAAAGCATATAACATTCATATCGGAAAATCTCAGTAAAACACCACATGCTTTTAAAATCAGGATTTGAATCAAAACATCTCGTTTAACCCAGTTCCAGAAAAAAAATCATTTAAAGATATTTTTCAACAGTTTTCAGACAGAGAAAAAATGCAAAGGTGAGCAAAATAATGAAATAAAAAACAGCCCCCGGACAAAACATCACTCATATACAGCCCCTCGAGCAAACCTCACAGTCACTCGTGCTACTCGGGCATACCTCACAATCACTCTTGCCACTCGGGCATACCTCACAATCACTCATGCCTCCCAGTCACTCAGCACTCGACACTCGCACTCAGTAGGTACCTGTGCTCACTGGGGGTGTGTACAGACTCTGGAGGGGCTCCTTTGGCCCAAGAGCTATAATCTGCACGGACAACTCACGTGCTATAATAATAAAGTATGTTGCAGGTGGGCATCCCCAATCCACACTCATTCTCACAATCAGGCCCTCAGCCTCACTCAGTCATAAACCTCTCAAGCCATTCGGGCATTTCAGTAAAAACAGGGCGTTCGGCCCAAAACAACATTTATATGCATCAAAATAGAGTCATAAAACTAAGTTATGCAGTAAACAAGTATAATCATGACTGAGTATAGATTTTCAATCAAAAACAATGAGAGGATAGTGAGAAAAGGCCCTCTAAATGTCCAAATAGCACTGGCACAAGGCCCAACACATGGCATTCAGCCCAATTTACAGAAACTCTTTCTAAAACATATAAGTATCACATAGTTTCAACAAAATATGCAACTTTACAGTTGCTACGGGACTGACCAAGTCAAAATCCCCAATGGTGCACGGCCACACGCCCGTCACCTAGCATGTGAGTCACCTCAAAGTAATAAAATGATACGATATCCGGGGTTTCATACCCTCAGGACTAGATTTACAATCGTTACTTACTTCAAGCTATGAAATTCTTATTATGCAATGTCCTTTCCTCGTGAATTGGTCTCCAAATGCCTCGAATCTGGTCATAAATAATTCATTTTAGTCAATAAAATTCATTGGAATTAATTCCATAAGAAAATAATAATTTTCCATAAAAATCCAAAAATTAGCTCGAAAATTGCCCGTGGGGCCCACATCTCGGAACTCGACAAAAGTTACAAAATCCAGAAGCACATTCAACCACGAGTCTAACCATACTAATTTTACCAAAATTCAATCCCAACTCGACCCTCAAATCTTCAATTTAAACAAGTGGGTTTTCAAATTTTTCCAACTCAATTTACCAATTAAATGATAAAAACAATCATGGATTCGGGTAATTTAACCAATATTGAGTTAAGAACACTTACCCCGTTATTTTCTCTGAAAATCACTCAAAAATCGCCTCAATCCGAGCTCCAAATCGTCAAAAACTGAAAATGGGACAAAGTCCCATTTTCAGAACTTAAACTCACTGCCTAGGCTTTTCTTCTTCGCGAACGCGGTCAGTGCCTGGCGTTCGCGAAGCGCAAAATAGCTCCCGTCCAAATTTCCTCCTTCGCGAACGCGACATCACCCTCGCGTTCGCGAAGCACAATATGCCTCTGTCTCAATGCCTTCTACGCGAACACATTCAACCCATCGCGAACGCGATGCTTCGTTCCCCCTCACTACGCGAACGCGACACCCCCTACGTGAATGCGTAGACCAATTGCCTGGGGTCCTCGGTTGCTTCCTCTCTTCTTCGCGAACGCGTAACACTTCTCGCGTTCGCAATACACACCCAGTCCACCCTTCGCGAACGCGAAGAGAAAATATTGCCAGCCTCTCAGTTCCTCTTCGCGAACGCGAGACTCCACTCGCGAACGCGTCGAAGGAAACCAGATGGTGCATCAGAAAAATTCCAGCAGAGTTCCAAGTCCATAATCCAACCCGTTAACCATCTGAAACTCACCCGAGCCCCTCGGGACCTCAACCAAATATACTACCAAGTCCTAAAACATCATACGGATTTAGCCAAACCCTCAAATCACCTCAAACAACGCTAAAACCATGAATTACACCACAATTCAAGCCTAATGAACTTTGAAATTTCTAATTTCTACAAATGACTCCGGAACCTATCGCATTTCAAGCCTAATTCCTCTACGGACCTTCAAATAATATTCCGTACATGCTCCTAAGCTCAAAATCATCATACAGAGCAATTTGAATTATCAGAATTTGAATCCGAGATCGTTTACACATAGGTCAATATCCGGTTGACTTTTCCAACTTAAGTTTCTACTTAAGAGACTAAGTGTCTCAATTCACTCTGAAACCACTCCGGTCTCGAACCAACTAACCCAATATAACATAATATAGCTGAATAACACAAAAAAGTATAAATGGAAAAAATAGGGCTGCAACTCTCGAAACGACCGATCGGGTCGTTACAAGCATATACGTCGCTTAGACTTTAGCCTTATATTATGCCTTATTTAGATTTTATGATTCAAGTTTAATCATTTGTATGACTACATGAGCTT